AGAAGCAGTCTATTGTTTTTTTTTACTTCAAACATCTCTACAAAAACGTGTACCTGAATTTATATTAAATAGAAAAGTAACTTTCGATAATGGAATATTTTAATTTTTATTTTGTAATTGTAAGATTAAATCCACTCTATCCAAGACAGTGTAAATAAGTTTCAAAATTGATGAATACTCATCACTAAAACTTAAATGCGCTGTAAATTTATCAGACACTCAGTTTATATAACGTTGAAGCCATACTTTAATTTAATATTGTAATTATAGTATAGAAACGAAGTATTGTTTTAAGATTTATTGTAAAGGGCTTTCATGTATTGAATTTTCCCCTTAATGACTGTAGTTGCTTAGTCATCGTAGAATGTCTTTTGCAACAATGAGTAATTATTAAAACGAAACAAATCATAACACTTTCTTGTTTAGTAAATTTATTATTTTTGACAAGTATCGAAGGGTGTTATATAATGTAATGTAATTAAATAATGTAATTATAGTGAATCTTACATTGCTGTAGTTAATTGCAATAAGTGCTTTTTTGTACGATTCACCGACTTCGTACCTAATGAATTCTTAATCATTTCCATGTTGTAGAGTTAGTATAATCATTGTTCTTCTTTTTTTAGTTGTGATAAAACAGTGATAAAGTAAGTACTGCTGGTGTTAGTAATGATGCCTACGATAATATATTACATGGTACAGAAACGTATTAAAGGCCCCAAGTACATCAAAATGTACGTAACATATTATACGAAGTGATTTAGACTCGGGCAATATCATTCCTATGATCACGTAAACGCCTCGTGTACATTATAATGAATATATGACATTCAAGTTTAGCTTTATATATTGTACATCACCTTAGAGTATATACAAAAACACGTTTTCATCCAAAATTGACACTAAGGTTCACATGACAAAATCCATGGTAGTGAGTGACCCGTTTATCTCTTCCAGATTGTCTTGATCTATCATATTTGTAATAAATATTGTTAAGTGATAAACTGATAAATGTATACAAATGTTTATTTACAAAGAGAGTAGAGTTTAATCAATGTGACGATTCATGTGTAATTTGATTACGTATAAAATAAAGGTTATTTGAGTTTGAGGCATACTTGCATACACGAAATAACAATAAATGCAGTACAAGGGCTTAGAGGGCGAGTCACGAGTGCCAACTGGGTAAAGTTTAAATTATATTAAGAGTATCGAGTTCTAAGTTTATATTAAGAGTCCAGAATTTGTTACATCTTGTTCTTAGGTTTTCGCGATTGTTACACATAGGAAAAGAAACTATTTTTCCGAATTTAAATCGCGTATATTTGTTTTTTCAAACAAACCGACGGTTCGGGCCCTTTACAGGTCCCATGGTCACGATTGTCAACAAATATACGCGATTTAAATCCGGAAAAATAGTTTCATTTCCTATTTGTTACATCTTTTTAAGTTAGAAACTCCGACCAATCATTATCAAGATTTCATAGTGTTTAACATATGATTGTGTGAGTTTTAGCGACAGCGGTTTGTATAGTAAATCGAGTTGTTTTTTTTTATACATTGGGCGTTTAGCGGTTTTTCCATTGTAGTTTGCGGAGTCTTAGGATGTCAATAGTATAACAAATAATAAATATTACGTCCATAATTCTGAAATATTCTTATTGTTCAGCCTTATTTATTTAAGCATGTATATAAAAAATATTTTATTTCGAAAGGTCGTTAAGGTTAGTTTACTAAATGCTAATTACCGCACCGACAATAATGTTCAGCGTTGACTAAGTTTTTCTTTATTGGACTCGTGATCGCAAGTATGATCTGTTGTTATTTATGGAATGACAATAGCTATCGTAATTACTTGTCAGTTGGAATACTCAGTTGTAAATTACTACAAGAGTAGAATAGCAAAATAAAAGAGCTGTGAGATTGAAAATTGAGAGTTCGACGGTTCGCACCATGCACCATGTACCTACGATTTTCATTTCTTAGTTACGCACATTTGTGGATATTTGGTCTTTTATTCCACTTTTGTGTAAGTCTTTCGCTGTTCACACAATGCGTCTTTGGAACCAAATCATCTTTCAAGCGCATGTTGCAAATCATCTTTTTGACAATCTTCAAGATCAAAACTACTTAATATGGCTGTGGGTACATTATATACTATGTATTATAAATATTTATATACATGTGTGTTTATTATATATATATGTTAAATATGTTTATGTCGCATTAAATTATATCATATAAATTAACTATAAAATTTTGGCTTATGGTATTTTGTTCTTATTATTTTCATTGAAGCAACAGTCTATTGTTTTTTTTTATGTTTAGCCCAATAATGGCAATGAATGCCTTGTGGCATGAACTCCTCCAATTGTACATTATTACATTGTGCAAAAAGTTTCAATAAATAAATGACGTAAAGAATAGACCAACTGTAATTTTTGCTAAAAAGTTTTTCGTAGATCATGGATTCCCAAACTTTTTGGCTCACCGCCCGCTTAAGCACAACAAAAAAAATTCAACGAATTCAACAATTCCACCACCATAGGATATAATTGAAAACACGTATTTTTTTATATTAATTTACCACAAACAATCACAAGGAAAAAAATTGTAGTGTAGTTTATATAGATAAGCCAGATTTTTTTTTGAAATGCGATAGCACCACCTGGCTAGCTTCAACGCCCTCCAACTGCTTCCAAGGCCCCCTTAGGACTCTTTAGCGCCCACTGGGGCGTTAGGAACCACTTTGGTAAACTAAGTCGTAGATCTTACTTTTTTTTTTTGTACATAGCCTTTTAATATTTTGGCCAACATTGAACGTGTAACAGTTATACCTATAGGTGTCAATAAATGATTCATTTCCCACAAGCGACTATAGTACAAGAATCTCTTGCATTACGCTTGTTGAATACAAAATCGCTCATTCGTAGCCTCTGAGTCACCTGTCTTGCAACGACTTGTTCTGTTATGAATGCAACAGATCTTACTAGTAGGCATTTCTAGATACGCTTTTTTGAACTATAGATTTTTTGACAGGAAAAAGATCTTCGCAAGCTTTTTCCGTGAATTTAATTATCTATGTATTGTGCGTATGTAGTAACTTAATTATGTGCACAAAATTCAAATTCGCTTTCCGCGAACCATTAGTCGTTATATTTTTTTTATTACCGCGTGCTGCTATCGTGTTAAACAATACACTGATATATGGAGTTCTTAGGTTTTCGCGATTGTTACACTTAAGAAATGAAACTATTTTTCCGGATTTAAATCGCGTATATTTGTTTTTTCAAACAAACCGACGTTTCGGGCCCTTTACAGGTCCCATGGTCACGGTTGACTGACTGTAAAGGGCCCGAAACGTGGGTTTGTTTGAAAAAACAAATATACGCGATTTAAATCCGGAAAAATAGTTTCATTTCCTAAATACGCTGATATGTATTTTGAAAATCCAAATCCCTGCTTATAAACACAAAAAACATAATTAACTTACAATTTAAATCAGCGCCAAAGCGTAATCTCGACTGTGGCATTAACTGAATAAATTATTTTGCATACGCTACAACCGCACACACGTTTGTATTTAAAAATGTTTTATTACAAATTTTAAATGTTTGATTCGTTGTTTTTTTCTTTTTTTCTTTATTTTGTTTTTTTTATATCCCTTCTTTCGGTATATTTTTGTGTGGCTTTGCAATAAATATTTTCTATTTCTATTTTTAAGAACTTTTTTTTGAATGTACCTCGCAAAAAAAGATATTTCCAGTGAAAAACTAATAAATTTGTTATACTTTAACAACATGAGAAAAATTCTTTGAAATATGTTATTACTAAGCACTTGTGACTGGCATGTTTTGATTTGGCACGATAGTGCTGTATATAAAGTTCAACAGCATTTGTACCTCAAAAGGACAAGGCTTCGGAGTTAAAAAAATAAGTTTAAAATGTACTTGGCTACCCTTGTTCGACTTATTTGTGTAATTATTCGCTTCAAAAACAAGTATTGTGACGAGCTGAAATAATTTCAACCTTTGTGTTAATACGTATTTTGTTTGCATAAATCTTGTCGAATTGCTGAGCGTGACATGGAAGGACGGTACACGAAGACACTGAAGTGAAAAAATTATTACAATTGGCAATATTTAGCGAAAAATGACTTGCAGTCTGAGGAATGGCAACCCTATTAGCCTTTAGATAGAACATAACCATATCATACAACACTTATTTTGTTCCAAGTATATCATAGCTCAAATTACAGTAAATAGTATGGTATCGTAAACCATGACTGTATTAAAATCCTGTTAGGTTCGGAATTGACAAACGTAACTAGTGGTAGACATCTCCAAAATAATCAATCTTAATAGCTTCAGGATTCGTACACGATATTTGGATGCAATTTTGACGAAAAATGTGTAATATGAATTTTTTTACACAAATTAATTTTAAACAAATTACATTAACATATTTTTTAAAACTCAATGCAAAGGCTCAATTACAAGCCCTTTACAGCATTAATAATTATGTATTTTATTAGTAAACAAGAATTTGAACACTAAAGTGCAAAAACGTTTATTTTAAAATAATCTCAGTACAGAGTACTAAAAGACCGATTTCCATGATTCTTTTTTGTTGGAAAGAGGGTACCTCCATAGTGGTCCCATTTCATTTTGAAGAAAATCATCCACCTCTAAGGGTGGCTGTTCACGTATGAAGATTCATTTTTATAAATTTTATTATAAGGAGCTCTCTCAATATACTTTGAGCAGTGAGAACCGATTTTTATTATTTCCTGTGTCAAGTTCCGTATAGTGGCGAACTAGGGGATGAATCCAGGTTTGCGCACTTTCCGGTAAACGATTTCAATAAAACTTGGCAAATAGATGTAATTCCACGTACTTTTGAGGTCGGTTTTTTTAGTACTCTGTGCTGAGATTATTATTAATCTATTTGTGACCTTGCATAAATACTTGTTATGTAACTTATTCTTTTATTTGTTTCAGATGGTACTTCCGTAAGATCAAGCGGATTGAGGCTGAGAAGAAATTGCTCCTGCCTGAGAATGAACATGGAGCCTTCCTTATCAGGGACTCCGAGAGTCGTCACAATGATTTCTCGCTATCTGGTTAGTTGAATTTATTATATCAGAAAAATATAAAGCTGAAATTACCTTAATATTACCGTAGATAATAATTACCACCAGGACTTAAAGTAGGTAACTCCTTGTACTACGAACATCAACATAACCAAGCCTCCAAGGGCATTACTCAAAACTTCCAGACAAGAACCGAATTAGGGCATTTCATCAGAATCGGTTTAAGTCATACCCGGAATGTTCATGTACCACATAACCTAGTGTCAGTGCCGAGCCACCGAGATCGTCACCATTTCCAGGTCATTATGGGGATCCGTACCTAGGCCTGACTCTTTTACAGGTTGTTGATTGAGATGGTGATAAATTTGGAAGTTGAAAGGCTGACCACGAGCTTAAAATGTTATGTAATATGAATAAGACTATAATAGGATCGTTTATTTCATGTTGTCATTGTCAAAAGATGAATGATCGTCATTAGTGTTGCCGTTCGTTCTTGGTCTTGCAGTCTTAGTCCCGTTCTTGCTTTTTTTACAAAATTAAGACCAAGACCGACCCCGCAAGATTAGAGCAAGAACAAGACTTGAGTCTGCGAGACTCTTGCGTCTCGTCGTTACGTCAAACTCACATATGGGTTTTGGTATTTATTGATTTTGTGTTAAATCAATATCGATTTTAAGAGATGTTCGATATCAAAGACACGGTTCCAACCAAGAAATCGTCACTAGTAGAAACAATAATTTATATAAAACAAAATCGTATACAAAGCATCGCAAAAAAATATGTCCAGTAATAAAAATTATAATTCCTATATCTACTTTATAGGATTTGTTATTATATTATAGGATTTGTTGTTTGTTATTATTGCATAATGAATAGTATAAAAAGAGTTTTATTCGGATAAACATTCCGTTCTTTAAAACACTTCAGATTAACGTGTATTTGATTTTTTATTATTTTTTGATTATCTATCTTATCTCGACAGACACAGTGACTGATATGGAATATCAACATACACTTAATACGATATTGTTACTTAAATATGTTTAAAGTTCCGTTTTAAATTTCAGATTATTATTTATATTGCCTAGAAACACTTTCTGCCATCACTTATGATGTGAAAAAGTCCTTTTTGTATATTATAAGGATTTCATGATTGCTACACGTTCGAAATGAAACTTTGTCAAAGAAAACAATCGTGACCGTGGGACCTGTAAAGTCAACGCAACGCAACAAATACGAGTATACACGACTTAGATCCGAAGAAGTAGTGCCTTTATAATACAAAATTTCTACTCATATTTATTTGCTTAGTAAATTAATATTTTCTTCGATCGCTTCTCATCATTGAATTACAAATTTCTCATACTAATTGATTTTAATTTCTAACCGATTTCGAAAAAAGATGTAGGTTCTCAATTCGACTGTATTTCTTTTTTTGTGTGTATGTTACGCGATTACTCCGGATTTATAAATCGATTTTGATGATTTTTTTTGTTGGAAAGAACGTACCTCAGTATTGGTCCCATTAAAATTTAAAAAAAGTTTTCCACCTCTAAGGGTGGCAAACTAGGGAATGAATCCGGTTTCGGGCACTTTCCGGTAACTGATTGTTAACTTTTTAGTTTCAGTTTGTACGAGTACTTACATACAAGCAAAGCTTGAAGTCGGTTTCCTTTTTTTAATAAAAATTAATTATGTCCCATTGTTAAATGGAATGTTTAGGTAAGTGTAAGCGTGAGCAACAATCACACTTGCCTAGAAATACTTTATTCAATCACATCACATCATATTATACTAATTCAATTGAATGTTTTTCATAATCCTTTTTAAATAGAAGATTTTTTGACAAGTGTAAGTTAGAGAAGCATTCACTAGAAGTTACGTTCCTTGATCACTTCCAATGCTAACTGCCTCCGTGAGTGAACGATTACCACGCAGAGGTCCCAGGTTCGATTCCCGGGCCGGGAGAAATATTTGTATGGTCCACATTTATTCCTCTCGTGAGTTATGTTGAGTGTGTGCGTTATTTATTATTATTATTATATAATGCTAATTGTATTGAATATTTTTTAAGTTCCGATTTAAATAAAATATTTGTAGGCAACTGTAACTGGATCGCTTTACATGCTAATTTAAAAAAATGATCCTTTTTAATCAGATGTTTTTGAGACTAATGCTAAGCGTGAACAGCAATCACAATTACCCTGAAATACTTTCTTGAATCACTTCTGACGACACTAGTAGATACTGTTGATTTTTTATTTGAAAACTTTTTTCTAACTACACAGTGTTATTTTAAAATACTGACAACCACGCAGGACTGTATAATATATAAGATCATAAACAATAACTTATGTTCCATGACTTTACAAAACATAATAAATTTACCAAAAATAATCTTCAAGTTTTTGTTCTACTGTCTGACACTTTTTAGATCTAAATTTGGTAGAATAAGTTCAAACGTGCAAGGGTCCTATGCGACGACTCCCACCTGTGTCCTGCACAGAGTTATTACCAAATGATTACCACTAGTATCAGGCTTCTTACCACGGTATGACTTCTTTTTATTTTCCCGATATTTCGGAACGGTTGCACGCTCCATGGTCACGGGTTGACCGGCTGGCCAACCCGTACAACATACCGTGGTAAGAAACCTGATACTAGTGATAATCATTTAGTGAATAACCACGGAAGTCTTAAAATCTATTATTACCATTTAGAGCGATCTATTTTCTGAAATCTGTTGAATTATTAAAATTCTTGGAAAAAATGTCGGCTCATCCGTAGAACAAAGATCTATGTGCAAGACTACTTGTTCTCAGGACATAGTACATTTCGTTCGTTCTTCTTCGCTGTGGATGTCTGTTCGACCGTTGTTCTGTTTTATATTTCCGAAACGAAATAAGATATATGAATTCTCAAAACACCTTTACATAGGCCTTAGTTTGAATAACGAAATTATTCTCGTAACGTACTTATTCTCTTTTCGCTATATAATCACATCGAACTCTGTTCTTCGGATGAGTCGATATGTTGTATATGATTTTAGTAATATTGTCCTGCCAGGTTGTAAGTATTTTAAAAATAACCCTGTATACGTTTTAACATCCATTCATTAATAATTCTTACTAGTATCAAAACAATCAAACGTTTCAAACATTTTTACGAGCGTTTGTTTTGTACTCCTATCGTACTCTGATAACGATATGATTCATACGTATTGTGTAATACATATGAAATCAATAGGGTCCTATAGTGTTGCAAGTACTCACCTTGGCTCTGTAGAACAATACGCGTGTACAACTTTATTTTTACTGTGAATTTTTTTTCTTCAGAATTTGTACAGGCTATCCTTTCTTTCTTCTAAAAACACATAAAATTTATTTACTTTTTATTCTTTATGTAAATGCAAAATGTTTACTCACACGTACCTAGAAAAAAACCTTCTTTCTTTAATCACTTTTCACATTGATTTACTTAAATTTTATACTCCCGACGAAAAAATTATGAAGCCTATGACTGTGTATCTGTCTGTATTATCTGGATGGACTGATCTCAAAATCGGTTTTTTTTTATTTGAAGGCTTATATAATCTGGAAGGTTCTTAGTTATGTTTGATGAATAATCTGTTCAGCTGTGAGTCTATAAGTACAACCTCAAACGGCTTTGGTTGATTCCGCATATCAGTGAATCAATTACTTTGGGAAAAATGTATATTAAAATTGACGATACACTCTGATTACTACACGATGTGAAAACGAGATTCCTAAAAATATTCACTATTGAAAAAAGAAACACAAACTTTACTTACCTTTTTTACCTACCTAAATTTTACCAGAAAACCACAGTATTCTATAGATACTTTACATATACCAATACTTTTTTTATCAACTGAACTGAATAAAACACGTATACTATACAATATACATTTTTCGAATAGGTTTAATTTCGTTTGTAAAAAAATAAATTCTGAAATAAAGTCAGCGTCCCTGCCGCTGCCGCTCGACACAAACAAAATGAACCCAATTAGTACGGAAAAAATTTTAATTCGAGCTGAAGTAGTATCGACTATTAAAGATCACCCGCTCTTTTTAACCCACTTCGAAAAAGGAGGAGGTTCTCTGTATTTTTTTGTGTGTGTATGTGTAATGCGATTACTCCGGCATTTGTGAACCGATTTTGATAACCATTTTTCTGTTGGAAAGAAGGTACGTCACTATTGGTCACATATAATGAAGAAAATGTTCTACCTCTAAGGGCGGTAAATTAAAGGGTAATAATCCTTAAGAAGTTTTATTTAATTTTAGCGGAGCGAATTAATAACTATACCAATTAGTATTGGACGATATTTTAATTGCAATGTGTGTAAAAATTTACTCAAGTAAAAGTAACACAGAGCTAATTAGTATTAGTCGATATTTTGATTGCAATGTGTATAAATTTACTCAAGCCAAATAAAAGCAACACATAACTTACGAGTGACTAACTATAACTAATACATATATGATGCAGTAATAGCTTAATTGGAGCATTCTTGTTGTTTCATTACAACGCCTGGGTTCGATTCCCACCTGCACCACCTAGTCTTTTCGAATCCTGCGCAGTTAAGTTTACAAAAGTATTGCTCGCTTTGGCGGTGAACATTGACATGTATAACCTGCATCTTGGAGGACATCTATAGGGTGTCCTTGAAGACCTATGAAGTCCTTAACCCTCATTGAGCAAGCTTTCCGAGTTAAGTTTCTAAACCCTCCCATTAGAGAAGGCCCGTGTCCGGTGGTGGTAGTATAACGTATATGGTTTGATGATTAAAGACATTTGGAGACGTTTATTTATTTAGATTAATGACGAAAGTATTTATCATGTGATATTTGTTAGAACTAGATAGTTCCTATAAACTTCCGAGTATTTTTCTTTAGCAATATCATCATCAAACTAATTCGTACGGCAATTAACACAATACATTTTCAAGAACATTACCACGAATCACGATTTAAAACAAAAATAACTCGGGTTATTTTCAGGCTAGT